AAGACAATGGAGGATTTGGCCGGTTGTGCTGACCAAGCTTTATCCCCACGGTCTTAAGTGCTTGTCCTAGCGCCGTGACTAAGCATAAATAGGGGCGAAAGAAAAGAAAATGGTGGGAAATCGTAACACTGTGGAGGTTGGAAAACTTCCTTCTGCTCATACAATGTGATATTTAAATACTCTACTGTGGTACTTACTAATACAACCCTACTATGGTATTTTCAAAGCATGGGACTCCATGCTGGATTCCATGGGTATTATTTGCATGCATATCACAGTTGCTGTGCTTATTCTGTTTTGGGCCAGAACTGTGTCTGCTGTTCCCTTGCTAGCTGACATTGGCTAGCTAGCCTAGTCAGGTCTGCTCACTTTCTTATTTCTCCAGTGATGTATCCTGATAGCAGTAAACTGTTCTAGACCCATGGGGTTATCTCTCGTGTCCAGAGTCAGCCACAATGGCTATGTTCTGTTTTCCAGTGTCCAGACATTCCATCTGACTCACAAAATGTGCCACTTCTGGTCTGCCATGCATTAATTAATCCACCTGATTGTTATATGTCATACCTCAGTATAATGCAGAGTACCTTGCTGTATTATGTGCACTAAGGCACCATAAGTATGTGCACAAGGCTCTGAGTGGTACACATGCTATTCATTCCTTAGGTAGTATTTCTCTATTTATTACTTTGTTATTATTATTTCATTTCTCTGTTCAATATCCAATTATTCAGACACCTTTCTTTGGGTCTCAGTTCTTTGTTCTAAGGCATGTTCCATCAGTGCATCAATGGCTGTGCATCCTTGATCAACATGATCAGAATTGCCAATCATATTTTGATCATATTCTTTTTATTTTTAGCATGTCTTCTTGTAATGATATTGGCACATTTAGAGCCAAGTGCTGAGACCTCACATGCAGTCTAACCCCACTTGTATTAGTCTGTCACTAGGCCATGCACTCTGCTCATTGTTACTTCAGTTTAGCATTATAGTGGCTAGGTTTCTGTGCACTCTAGTCCTATTTTCAGTTCCATGCTTAGTGGACTGGAATATAGTCCATGTATTCTCAATTTTCACAATTTTACATGCCTGAACATGGAGAGGGCATGTCACCAGGATTCACCTAAAGCTAACTGTTAGTTCAATTGTATCCATCAACCATGAGTAGCCCACCTTGGCTATCAAAGTACACAGTCTTGAACTCTGAGTCCATCCTCCCTATCAGTTCTGCAGGCAACAGTCCAAGAAGATGTATAATTTGTGCAATCTGTAGAAATACATTAAACTTTCTGTTGGGATTTTGCTGGAAAGTTCTAGAAAGGGCAATCCAGCATCATGCCAAGAGTTGATGAGTAAGCTCAAGCTCAAGAGAAAGTTGTAGTAAATTCTAGACATAAGCCTGGAGAGTATAAATACAAGCTCTGTAGGAGCTGTAGAATAAGAAGTTCATTCTTTCTGGCCTTACCAGCCTGGAGTCTACCCTGCACAACACCCTGGATTTCCAACACTTTCATTCAGAATGGAAATAACTAATCAAAATTTCACCCTAGATGATCGAATAGCTGAAAACTGACTGGCGGTGAGGAAATCCAACAAAAGGTGATGTAAGCTTCGTACCAGTGCGCCAAGGTTCCATATATCAGCGCTATACGACCAAGCGAGTCCAAAGCTGACTTCTGCCGCACGATACACATCCGGCTGGATGCAGTGATCGCACGCACTTGGTCGCCCCTAACTGCATTTCCAAAGTCAGAGACCACAGGAGTGGGCACCTTTCTGTTCACCCACAGTCTGAAATCACTGCCAGACACGTAGATTTCATGATCGGGCAGGGTCTTCCTTGCAGCAGGGTTCTCTGAAACATATTTCTCGGACCCCAGCAAAAGCGTCTTCGGATCCTCCATTGTGAAGAGAATGTTAGACAATATAAGGTCTACGGGTGGGATGAAGAAACAAGCATCATTACCAGTTAAAGAGACCGGTGTGAATAACGTGACAGTCACGGTGAAGATATCGAACGCCTTTGAGAAGCGGCTTAAAATAGGCCGTGAGGATAGGGACCGTGAAAAATTCCTTTCCCGAGCTAGCTTCACGGTAACGACGCTGAAAGAAATTGACGGGTTGTCGCTCGGGCCAGTATGCCGAGCAGACATGGTCCCCATAAGGTCCTTTCAGCACGAAACTACCATACAAAGTCCGGACAAAGTCACGATCAGGGCTAGATCGATTGGCTTCATTTATCTGCTGCGTCGTCGTGAGTTCATCATCTTATCCAGACAAAGCATCAATAGTAGACACTTTGATAGGACACGAAGATTATGTGAAAATTCCTATGACAGAGCAGAGTTCGAGAATGTGACGGAGAAGTTTGATGGCTTTTCAACGTGAAACCTGACGGACATTTGGAATAGCATGACAGCCAACCACGAAGACAACATCTGTATTCCCATATCACTCAATAGCCGCAGGACCAATTCTAAGAAACGAAGAATTGAAAAGCAAGACAGAATGAATGGTATCGGCGAGACAATTTGTCTCGGCTAGAGAATAGTCCTTTGAAATGCCTATCATGAACCTGATACCGGATAAATTGCGTATATTCTATTTTCGAGGTCATCCTGCGTCAGATACGCGTCGGTGTTCTCGATGATCTACCGTAGATAACAATTCTGCCGATAACCAAACACGAAACCGTTAGTACTATAGCCGACTATAACATGTCAACCAGTAAAGTCAACAATGTTCTCTAAACATCGTCCTCAGTCCACGTCCTACTCTTCTCGCACACCAATACGCTGCAAACACCCACACCTGCGCCGTCATTCCCACCCCAACAAAGATAGCCACGACCAGCACAATCTCAGAACTGACGACATACACCGTAATTCCCAGGAACGCCAACAAACACACCGAAGATATCAGTAGACACAGCATCGGTATGCGTGCAGAGACCGAGAAGAAGAAATATGTCCCAAAGAGATCCAGGGACCTCTGTGTGAGAGTGGACGTATGCCCAAACCGATATCGACTGATGAACCATATGTCGCATACCAGTCCGAACCCAGATGTTACAGCAGAAGCGGCTACAGTCGACCGGGCGGGGGACGTCACCTCAAATTGTGGATCGGGAGTGACAGAAAACACGGCGGTGTTTACGCTATAATGGGCTTAGTTTGGGTTCAATATTTAGTTGAAAGTCGAAATAGAACGTACGCGATAAGCGCTAGGAGCTACAAAATGGATATTAGATTGAAAATTTGCAGAAGAAGAAAAGAACAGCTTACCAAGGCCGCAACATACGTCCATTCTTCCTGTTGCTTCGAGAATGCAGCCTCAAAGTCTTTTTCTAGCTTTGCGCATTTGAGTTCGCGGTAGATCGTGATCGACGAGATGAGATGCTCTGCGAGGTTGAACTCCGGGAGCGGTTCGTCGATATCACGGTGCTGAGGAAGAGGGCTTGGAATTGTAAATGGACTAAGGACAGAGCTGGATAGCAGAAGAGGCTCGAAGATATCGTCATATGAGCGACGAGCAGTACTGCCAGTGCTCGCAGGCGTCATTGACAACCCGAGGCTGTTAGGAGTGAGATAACCAGGATCAGGAGATGGGGGGAACGACCGGACGACATCCGGGGCGGGGGAGAGTTGCAGGTCGTGAGTTGGGGTGGCAACGTTTTCATGTATCCGAGACGACGATGCAGGCTTGACCCGGAGGAATATAATAGGTGATAAAGACGAATTGGTGTTGATGTTGTTGGGCTGAGGTACGAGAGGCACCTCGATTTCTAGGTTTGTGGGATTAGAAGAGATTGGTGTCAGTGTGATTGGCGCGTACTATGCGTCTCAGTTTCGAGCTGGGCCAGCGAATGGGTCGCAGACCCGAGTAGCTTCTTCTTTCTCCGCCTGGCCATCGGTCGATACCATGCCTTGATTGTAATTGAGGCTGCGTTTGCCTCATATCTGAAGGTGGTTAATATCCAGAAATACATAGAAAGCACAAGGACTCACAACCGGAATCCTGATGACTTTTGGTCAGGATTCTGTCCGTCAGACCCTAGCCGCACTTCATGTAAATGTTGAGAACGGCAGTCGTCGATGGTAATAACCGGTCGCCAGGCGTTTTCTGAGCGGAGTGCTTGGAGGCCCTCGCTTCGAAGCACTGTAGTTCCAGATTTAGACTGACTTAATGGCTTCTCCGAGTGGCAGCAGGAATACCTGTGATGTCCCATATCCTGTGTAGTATATCATTAGTAGGCCTTCCTGGAGAAATAGACTGAGATACTACCTCTCGTGAGCCATTGCGGATGTTAAGGCGTAAGAAAGTGTGGGCGCTGCCGTCTATCAGAGATGGGCATCGAGAAGAAGGATCACATGAAAGCACATCAGCTAACTCTCCCACACCCACGATTGCTGCAGGAATTGCTAGATGCCATGATCTTCCAGGCCTGCATTGCTAAGAAAAGATTGGCAAGGCCGATGCCTTAGACTGATCACGCGAATGATGTCGCTGTCGGCGAGGTAGAACAATACTGGTGCGGAAGACCAGACTTAACGAACGATTTCATAGTGAATATTGACCAGCCTGATGGAAGAAATTAGATCTGGGATGTGAATAAAACAGAACTTCTTACTGGAAGTCTGTTGATGACCAACGCTTGGGAGTGTTGCTGAAGCCGGGTAAATACATCAAGGCTGCGACTTCCGCAATTTATCACAATCAATGGGGGAGATGGATTCGTAAAACGCGAAATATGATGGAATTACTAGGTTTGATGATGAACAACGAACTGCTTGAAGCGCGATAAACGGAGAAGGCGAAGTCAAAAGTAGAACACATCACGGCAATATTGATACGCCTAAAAGATACATCGACATGTTGAGAACAGTAAGAGCCATCATTAGCAAAGAAGGAACAGACATAATGAAGCTGTACTACCATTATCCAGCATTTATAGCAACGGATAATCATCGTCCTTCTGATTCCTAGCCATAGATGAGTTCCGCCAGTATGAAAAAGAAGAGGAAAAAAGGCGCGATTGAGGGACAGAGATCTTCTTGCATTTGCATCAGTCTTGGGTGCTGAACGCAGAGAATATTCTTAGTGAATACTATCGCGTCACGATGTTGGGGGAAAAGATGGCCTCGACTTAAAAAATTAAGCACCGGATTGGACTATGACCTTCTGGAACTAACAATATCAAATCCTATCAAACCCGATAAAGACGGTATCTGAGTTAACTTCGTGCCGGCGCGGCGCAGGCCTTCAATTCTATTCATGTCTGCTATGAGAAATTTTTCAAAATAATCCATCTGTCAGTCACTGTATGCAAAACTTTTCCTCAAAAATTTCCATCTCCTTCTCCATTCCTTTTCAACCAAGCAACATACATTTGCAGACATCTTGTTATGTGCCTCATCCACAGATTTCGGTCGTATCCCTTAGGGGGCTGCGAGGGGCCGAGAGCTGTGGAAGCCCCAAACGCCTTACACTCGACAGAAAAAGGCGCCACCGATGCCGCCCATTCGTCTTCCTGGGGAAACAGCATCCTTTTGTATGGCTTCAACTTGGGTCCTTTACCATCTAGATGGTAGAATATAGGCTTTTTGGAGAGAGAGTATAAATATCTCATCCTCTTGGGTGTAAGGCGGATGGTTTTGCTCTTGGCCGTATCGCTGTTGCTGATCGGAACGAGTGTCGCGCGTTTAGGTAGACATTTAATCTTCCTGTCAGCTACCACTTCTCTATGTGGCAAAATCCACGAGCTCGCGTCGAGCGAAAATCTCGTCCTTCTTCAACATCCCAGCAACGATCCGCCGCCGTTGATCTTCCTCTTCCTTACGCACGCTCTCGAGCTCCTCGCGGTGTCTCCGAAAACGATCCAACATGAGCAGGTCCTTACCAGAGGCCGGGTTTCTGTGTCGTGTGGATAGGCCTCGTCGCAGATGATCTCTGGGATATGAGGCGGCAGGGGGTGGTCGACCTCGGGATAGGGTTGCATTGTTCCGAAAAAGGGCCTTGACTTGGGTGGCAATACTTCGTTTAACCTGACCAAATAATCTTCCGTTCATTATATCTTATTTCCGTGATGTTTCAGGCAAGGAAAATGACGGTTTTTGGCTGCAGTATTCGGCGACCGACACTGTCTTGGAGATTAGTCAGTCTGGCACGCAACAGATGCTGCGAAATCCAAGAGATAACTGATTCATGACGCGGACCAACTGATTACGACTGTTTTCACGAACGAACAACAGACATCGATTCTAGAACATATCTATGTCACTACTACCTTCGCTGACCCTCGGCGAATTAGCGACCGACATCCAGGGATCATCGAGAAGCTCATCGATGGACGCCCGTTCCTCCGGAAGCCACCTGAGCATCCGCTTCAGAAATCCAATGAACATCTGCTTGTATTGAGAATCCGGAATAGTAGAAAACACGGCCTCAAATGTCCCTTCGTTCCCGGGCGGATAGTAATTTGCATACAGGAATTCTCCTGAAACAGGCTGTTAGTAAAATGGGGTTTTCAACATTCAATAACCCACCATTGCTATCAAAGTATATCTCTCTGCACATGGGATTTATCCTGTTTATGAGTTCCGCAGGCGGGGGTCCAAGAAGACGTATAATTTGTGCAATTTGTACAATGATGTTGAACTTTCCTTTAGAATCCAAACCCATAATGGGCGATTCCACGGCCAGACAATCGAAGACCTGCAAGTCGGATGATCGTGAGCAGAAGCTAAACGGTGATGGGAAATTCGTCGTACCAGTGCGCCAAGGTTCCAAATATCAGCACTATATGACGACGCGATTCCGAAGCTAACTTCTGGCGCACGATACGGATCCCGCTGGATAAATAAATCGCACAGGCCTTGGTCACCCCGAACCGCTTTGCCGAAGTCAGAGATCACAGGAGCGGGCATGCTTCTATGCAACACAGGTCCAAAGTCACTGTCTGACACATAGATTTCACGATCAGGGAGAATCTTCTTCACGGCAGAGTTCTCCGAAGCGTATTCCTCGTACTCCAGCAAAAACACCTTGGGATTCTCTAGTATGAAAAGAATATTGGACAAGTTGAGATCTGAGGATGGCGTAAAGAAAGGTGCGTCGTTGTTAGAAAAGGAACGCACTAGTGTGAATGATATGACAATGGTGGTGAAGATATCGTAGGCCTTGGAGAAATAGCCTGTAAAAAGCCGGGAAGACAGGGAGTGTAAAGAACTCCATGCCGGAGGTATCTTCACGGAAACGACGCTGAAATAAATCCACAGATTCTCGGTGGGGCCAGTATGCCAAGCAGACATGTTTTCCATGGGATCCTGCCAGCTCGAAGCTATCATACAGATTGTGGACATAGGCGCGATCAGGGCTAGATAGATTGGCGTCAGTTATATCCCACGCCATCCTGACGTCCTCATTTCTAGACGCGTCAACAGTCAGAACTTTGATGGCCACAAACGGGTACGTGTACGCATCCGGTCTGGAAGGAAACCCTCGATTAGCATTCATGTCGACAGACTAACTCTTCAACTCACTCGCCAATGTACTTGGCGAGCCATACGGTTCCGCTGCTCCCATAACCAAGTTTTCCAATAACGTGGTAGACCGTGTTCAAGACCTCGCCTAACGCGACTGGATAATAAATGCGTGGATCATAGTCTGGAAGGCTTTCTTCCTCAACGAGGATGTCGGGGCCTATGATGATTGGGTCTGGTACCGCCATGGAGCAGGCAAAGTGAGAGCAGTATTTCGATCAGGGAGGATGAGAGAAGATGGGAAAAAACGAGGTACGTTCTGTCGTCCTTTCGGTGTCCTTTTAACTGGCTCGCTGCGCCACATTCGGAGGAATGAGTAACAGTAGAACTCGGCTCTTTCCGGATGAGGTTCGGTCGACATATCGAGACAGTTGTTGAAATCTCACGCTCAACGCGATCGTTGCCAATGGCACTGCTCGCCACGACTTTGTGTGAACTTATGAAAGGTATCGTCGTCGGAATGTGTATGAATTCTTATCCACAGAGGTACATCTTCACGAGGCTATGTCCTGTCTTACTGCTTCCACTCACGGCTGGCCTTTTGTGTCCTTTGCGATTGGTTGAGTGTGGATGCAAAATGTACATCTTGGGGTCCCACCAGGGGAACTCGTAAAGAAGATAAATCCCGAGTACAGAGCGATGTTCTTTAATAGCAAAGGCGGGCCACAGAAGATTAAAAGCCCCCCATTTTTACTATCAGCTTGTTCCAGGACAATCCCTGCGTACAAATTACGATTGGGAGCGTTGGCGCGGTCCGGTTCCTCCGTGATCACGTGTTGCATTGCCGTAGATTCCCGCTTCGTAGCCACAGCCAAGACCATCAGTAGCCATTCCCGATTCCCTCTCTTGGACCTAGCAATATGGTTCCACGAGAATGAAGGGACATTTGAAGCCATGTTTTATATGATCCCGGATTCTTCATACAAACAGATGTTCATTGAATTTCTGAAGTGGATGCTCAGATGGCTTCCGGAGGAACGGGCGTCCATCGATGAGCTTCGCGGTGATCCATAGATGTCGGTCGCTAATTTTCCGAGGGGTCAGCGAAGGTAATGATGACAAAGATATGTTCTAGAATCGATGTCTGTCGTCCGTCGGTGAAAACACTTGTAATCAGTCAGTCCGCGTCGTGGATAAGTTATACCTTGCATCCCCCAGCATCGGTTGTGTGCCAGACCGACTAACCTCCAGGACAGTCTCCGTCGTCATATACTGCAGTCAAAAAACCGTAACAACCATTGTATTGTGTTTCCCAGAAGTTTTATCTAAGTACAAGCCCCTTCGAGTTTCAACCATCCTCACCCCGATGAAGTTACCGGGAGCGTGGTGCTCTGGGTGTGTCAGTGTTCATCTTTTCATGCCCACATCGCAGGTAGCCCTTTCATACATCTATTGCATTTCAGCCATGAATTACCCATGAATGTGATTTCAACTTCCGGCCAGAGGTTTAAAACCACGCGTGATCCAGAAAATGCATTACACGGTCATTCCGCCAAATATAGCTCAGCAAGCTAAAGCTGCAGA